AAAAAAAAATAGAAAAAATCAGGAAAAGGGAAATTAAGAAAAACTGCAAAATCGGTACCCGCCTGCATGGAAGGAAAAGGATCCATCGGTTGCGGCCTGACCTGAGCTCTCTTTCTCTCTCTCCTGTCTGCAGTACTTTCTGCACTCGCCCTACGAGATCCCAGACTCGGCGTCCAAGCCCTTCACGGTGCACTCGCGGCAGGAGCGCGACACGACCGTGCGCTTCCTGGAGACCGTCGCCGACCCGGCGCTCCGCCAGCTGTCCAAGCGACAGCGCCGCTGCCAGTTCTTCAACGAGGGCAAGAAGCCCTACCCGGTCTACTCGTACAACCTGTGCATGATGACGTGCCGGCGCAAGATGGCCGTCCGCTACTGCGGCTGCGCGCCCTTCTTCTACGGCGACAGGGGTGCGTCCTCTCCTCTGCAAGTGCCAGGGGAAAATAGGCTTCAACTTTCATGACATTTATTTCTGAACTTCGTTTCACGACCACCCTCAAAAACTACTTCAGTCAACGTCGATGAACGTCAGTGAAATTCAATAGCAGTTCACCAATGTCGACGAATCAAAAACCATGAATTTCAATGAAAATTTACTCAAGTTCATAAACTTGACCGATGTAGTGTTTTTTTTTTTTCCGGAGCCTGGTTTCCATGTCAGGCCTGACCTCCCTGACGGTGGCCCGATTTGGGCCTCCATTTTCGCAGGTGATGGCGTCAAGACGTGCGACGTGGACGGGATGGCGTGCCTTGCGGACTACGGCGAGAAGCTCATCGAGCTCCGCGAGGAGGACCCCGAGGCGGACTGCAGGTGCTACCACTCGTGCGAGGAGATCCGCTACACGACGGACCGAAACTTCGAGCGGAGCTGGTGGGTGCCAAATTCACATTTGTATTTTTTTTTATTTTTTTTAAAGAAACATATGTGTACTTGTTGGTTTCGGATGTAAGTTTGCGGTTTCATATTGGTGAAACCGGCGGATGGCATGTGCCCGTCCGGTCATTCAGCCCGTCGCGATCAGCGACATTCCCGTGACCCTCATAAGTTTGAATAACCATAATCGAGCGGGCTGCCAACCGGGCGGAGCTGCAACGTGTTAATCTTTATTGGTTATAGCATTCTGTTGACTGCTCAAAGCCTGCAACGGGGTAGCATTTTGTCGCCTCTCCGGAGCTAAACGTTTCATTTTGCGATTTGTGGTTTGCACGCGCGATGCCTCGCGGCCTCGTAGTTGGGTGAAAATGTCGTTAATTTACGGCTCTCTGTTGTGAATGGAAGACCCGGGGTCATATTTATTTACGATTCGGCGCTGTAAATCGCGTCGCCACTTCCTCATAACGGCTCCATAACATTCAGCGAAATGAGTCTTCCCTGAAATTTACTCGCCGCGCGGTGACTTCTCTCACAGCCTCGAGTGATATTTATCGCGAGCTTTTTTTTTTCGCCAAAGGCTAAAGCGAGCCTGTGGCCGGGCCTGCCGGGGAGAGAGTAATGTCTAAGACGTGTGACACGTTTGCACGTGCGTTCCCGCAGGTCGTACCCCGTGCCAGACAACATCAGGTTCCGATGGGCCATCGAGCTGTACAGCAAGACGAGGTTGAAGCGGTCCATTATTTTCACCTTCAGCGATCTGCTCGGTATAGAAACGAACGTTCGATGTGCACCGCTTGTATTTTTCCGGCCTCACTTGGCTCGGCCTCACGCACATTTTCCTTGATCGACAGTGTCCTTCGGCGGCACCGCGGCGCTGTTTCTCGGCTGCAGCATCCTCACTTTCGTCGAGCTCATCTACTTCTTCACGCTGCGCCTCGTGTGCGCCGTGCGGAAGGGCAGCGGGAAGTCCCGAAACCTGTGACCCCCCTCTCCGCTCCCCCACATTTGTTATCGCACCCTCTCAATAACAATATAAATACCGAAACATTATCTCGCCGCTAGAGTGTGAAATTCTGTCCCTCATTGAGATTTATTTTCGTTCTCTTGCGTGGCGCTGCGCTGCGGGGGCTCCGATGCGCCCGCCCGCTTTTTTGGGGGAATTTTGTCGTGGTCGTGGTGGGACCTTTCTCGGTGGGTCCATGGTCGGGGCCGGTGGGGCCCTAGATGCGGGACGATGCAGCGCGCGATACGGCGAGTGGCGCGGTCCGCTCGCTGCAGTCCGAGTCCACGCGGGCCCGAGGGTGTCGAGTGTCGCCCGGCCACGGAATTTCGGCTAAATGTCTCCACGTCCATCAAAGTCTTGTAACGCCCCTTGTAGGTGGTCCCCGCGTCGTTGCCGGCTCTCCAAAGACAGACGCAATAACACTGTCCCTTTCTTGCCAAAGACTGAGTGCGTGGCAGGGATTTTGAAAAGAAGCGCTCTCTTCTTCTAATGCTTTGGTGGGAACGAAAAATAGGACAACTTATTTCAGATTGTGTCATAAATAACAATATAAAAATAATTTTATTTATATTAAAATACAAACGTTCCCCGCTCGTATATCTATCTTACATTACATAGAAGTTTTGAACTTTTAACATGGGAAAGGAGCCTTTGGCTACCTACTAATCTGGCCCTAAAACGAACTTAAAAATGAAAACAATATCAATGTGTTCGTGTTGTCTTTGAACTCGCTTTTATTCACAGAAAGTTTGCCAACTCACGATCTGCCTGTGACCCCCATTCAATGACAAAACAAAATCTGACATAAGGTCCATATCACAAATACTTCCTAAAGCCCGGCATTAGCAAGGGCCGAGCGTTAGATAGGGAGATCAGCACGGGTCAGGACAGGGACAGGTCGACGGGGGCGGTGCTGGGACTGGGTGGCCTGCCGGGAGTCGAACCCGGGCTAGGCCGCGGGCTCGGACGCGGGCTCGGGCTCAACCGCGGTGGGCTGTCACTGTCAGCCTCGGGGTCACCGTCGGCCGCACGGTCGCCCTCCCGCTCACTGACGCCCGAGTCGCTGGCGTCGTCCTTGTCCTCGGCGTGGTGCCTGCGGCCCTGCGCGGCGCTGGGTGGCGTAGGGGCGCGGGAGGCTGTGCGGGACAAGTCCATGGGCTGCTCCTGGTCCGCGTCGTCACCCTCGTCGAGACGAGCCCCGGGCGGCGACGGCCTCCCCAGGACCCCGGGTGGCGGGCCTCGCAGGGGCTGCGGCACCACGGGCGCGGCCTTGGGGTGCAGGTGGAGCCGTGGCGAGGCCGGCCGGGAGACGAGCCGCCCCCACTCGGGGCGCTGAGGGGCGGCCTGCGGGGCTGCTCCGGGCGCGCCCGGGGGTGGCAGGCCGAACAGCGGCGGGGGCACGCCGCCGTTGAAGGCTGCCGCTGCGGCCGCGGCCGCCGCCGGGAGGAAGGGAGGGAACGGCATCCCGAGGGGCGGGCCGTGAGGCGGCGGGGGCGGGAGCAGCCCCCGGGGGCCGGCCCACAGCATGGGAGGCAGGCCCGGGGGGAGGCTGCCCCCGTACAGCCCCTCCAGTCGGGGCCTCGGCCCCTGCGACTCCCCCTTGGGGCTCTTCTCCGGGGGGCTGGTCCGCGGCGGCTGCACTTGGGGCTCCCACCGCGGGGGCTGCTGGTCACCGTGCTGCTGCTGCTGCTGGTGCTGCTGCTGGTGCTGGTGCTGCTGCTCCTGCAGCAGGCAGTGGATCTTGAACCAGTTGGAGCGGCGGCCGTAGCGCGACCCGCTCTTGGACATGCCCACCAGCAGGCACTTGCGCAGGCGGCACGCCTTGCACGACGTGCGGTTCTTCTTGTTGATGACGCACGCGCCCTGGTTCTTGCACTCGGTGATGGAGCCCAGGTTGTTGTACGTCCGCCCGAAAAACGACTGAAACGGAAATAGTAAAACGTGAGTCTTTGACGCTTTCCGTCTAAGTTTAAACGATGTACTCTGCGCATAAAGTACTCTACCTTGCATCCTTCGCATGTAAATGCGCCAAAGTGGAAACCAGCTGCTGGCTCGCCGCAGACTCTGCACAGCTGGCTCATCTGCAAGCCAGAAGAAAAGTCTTGGTAATGTCCAGTATCATACCCAGTTGCAACCCTAGCAGTTGCACCATCAGCGGCGCGCCAGCCGGCGGGCAAAGCGCTGGGCTGCGGTGTCGGATGGGCTGCCTACCCCCGCGGCGTCCTGCAGCTGCAGTCCAGGAGGAGGGCGCGGAGAGGGGGCACCGCGACCACGCACTTAGCGGGAGGGGACGGACAGCGGATGAGCAACGGGCGCCGAAACGTCTGCGCGGAGTATAACTTTCCCCCCGTCGTCTCGGCCGGTAATTACCTCCTACCAAATAAAACCAGGTTTCAATTAACGAATTTTATTTATTAATCCCGGCCGGCGGCGCTGGCTGATTATCCCGATATCGCGATGCTGCAACGAGGCCTAACAAGGCTTTCATTTTGGAGATGCGGACCCATTCGCGACCCCGGCCCGACCCGACCCGACCCTGCCCGGCCGCGCCCCGCTGGCCTGGCGGACGTATAACTCATGCATCGGTATGGATCGCCTCTCTCTCTCCCACTCGCTCATTCATTACGGCAGAGACAGAGACGGGCGGGTCGCGGCGGCCGTGGCGTAGCGCAGCCTGCGCGAGCCTGCGCAGCAAGGACCGTGGCAAGGAGTGAATTAAATCAGGGAAATTTATGACGCGCGAGCGGCACGCGGGACGGGACGGGCGGGCGGGCGG